ATAAAGCAACTAATGAACAGTTAAATTCCCGTCCAAATATCAGAAGTGGTTTTTCTCCATCTAGAAGCTCAAGATCACTTTAATATAAGTCTATACCAAAGTCCTGCATCACTAACACAAAAACAAGGCAAACACCATGTTCCATCAGCTATGACCACTCACGGGGTTTCTGACATGCCTTGTGTTTTACCTCTGCAAGACACACGAGGTAGTAGGCCTCTTCTTGTATACGGCTGTAGAGTTCTTTGCCTGGCACGTTGGAAAAAGCAGCTTTCTTGAACGTGGGCCTTGCACTTCCTGATTTTAATATTCCTTAAAGGTTAAGTACATAATGAAATTAATGTGCATTGCTGAGTGGTTTCAAGACATTTTATGCTGTTTCATTGCCCCAATAAATCTCCTCATTCCCAACCATAAAACCAAATTTACTTCTCAGCTTGGCAAAGAAAGGACAAATAAATAAGAAAGTGAATACCACAGTGTCGCATGATCGTCATAAAATTTATGGATGCATTTTGACATCTACCGTTTTTGATGAAACACCCTGCAAACAGAGGCGAGCCTGGGAGAAAAATGGCCTGTGACACAGCACGTCTCAGCCATTCCAGCAGTATTTCACCTTATATCGTGGCATGTTAGATGGTTTTCCATCATGCGTATCTATTTTTAATACAGAGTTTTTCAGAGCATTATTGTAGCAACTCTTATAAAGTTGTAATACTTTGTCTGTCTTCTAATTTTGCCGCGTTTCATTGTTCATGATGGCCTGTAAGTCACATTAAAGAAAAGTATTACAGAAGTGAAACCAAAGGGCGCACAGTGTTTAGCAGGGTCAGCCCACACCTCTGGCGACCCGTGTTCAAGTCTTTGCCCCTCTACTCTGGCTCTGTGTGGGGAGTTGGCATCTGGGTTCTCCGCCCCCCTCTTTGAGTTGTGTGTGTATGTACTGTATGTGCTCTGTGATGGTTTGGAACACCATCTAGGGCAGGGGTCTACAACTCCGGTCCTGGAGAGCTACTATCCAGTAGGTTTTCTATCCCACTTGGCTTCTGATGAGGCGCACCTGGTCCTGTTATTTACCTGAGAACAGGTGTGGATCATCAGAAGCTGGGTAGGATTGAAAACCGACTGGACAGTAGCTCTCCAGGACTGGAGTTGGAGACCTCTGATGGAGATCTAGGGTAACTTCCTGCCAAGTGCCCATAGATTTTGGCCCTGCAGAACTGCATAGGACCATGTTAGGATCTCAATGGATGTATGGGAGTTGAATTTGACTTAGATCTAACTTTTATAACTGACACTAAAGGCTAGGGAGGGGGGGTTTGCGAGAAGATAGGTGGATGGATGGACTATGGGCTGAAATTCCTTCTTGCTATTTTTAGAGCGAAGAAGCAAAGAGGTTTATAGAAATGCAAGATGGCATCTAAGATGGCATTCTTCTTCCACGACAATTAAATTATTGTTAGCTGTTAAGAAATTACATCAGTGTTTTTGTCATCAGATGCCAGTCTAACAGAGCACCTGAAGGAGAGCTGAATGATTTATAATTCTATGAGTCAATAGCGCTGACCACCCTGTCTTTGTCTTCACGCCTGCCCAGTTCCTGAGGAGCTTTTCCTCCAGCTCCTTATCCTTCAGGATGCCCCCAGGTGGACAACACACCCCCATCTGCTAATTTCAAGATCCCAGTCTTAGCAATAACCAAGCCATCGTCACCTAGAAGCAAGTTGCCTTCCCCCTTTCATTTGCTTCCTCACTCTCATTTGCTTTTGTTCCAGGTGAAAATATACGGAAGTAGATCTAATGAAAAAAAAACCCATCATTGTAGGAGAACTCTGAATGCAGTTACGGTGGAGTAGCAATTTTATGGTACCTTGTATCCAGTAGATCAGGGTTATTCAACTCACGGTCCTCGAGGTCCGAGCACTGCTGGTTTTCCAGCCTTCCTTTACCTGTCAGTCAGGTGTGAATCCTCTGGCCAATCGGAATCAGTAATTATTAAACAACTACCTGGGAGAACTGAAAACGCGGCCTGGATTAGGAATCGAGGTCCAGAGTTGAAGAACCCTGCAGTAGATATTGATGCTTGTCATGTATATGCACAAAAACAAAAACAGAATATTATCATTTAGTTGTAGACAGGGAGGCTTTCACCAAAATGTTTGTCTACAGATCTTCTCGGGGTATGACTCGTTGTTGTAAGGCTAGGTGCCAAAGTATTGCACCGCCTACTGGCCCACCCACACTTTGGATATCAGAAGACGTAGAGCAGGGGTCTCCAACTCCGGTCCTGGAGAGCTACTATCCAGTCAGTTTTCAATCCTACCCGGCTTCTGATGAGCCACACCTGTTCTCAGGTAAATACCAGGAGCAGGTGTGGCTCATCAGAAGCCAAGTAGGATAGAGAACCTACTGGATAGTTGCTCTCCAGGACCGGAGTTGGAGACGCCTGACATAGAGTATACCTGTGTACCATCCAGTGATGTTCATGATGTTTTGAAGGACTTCGGTTGCATCATGCTCCAACTTGTATGTATGGTTAGCTTGCTAATGTTTCCCCCCTAGCTACAATGCTATGAATGCTCTGATTCGCTGCATTTTACAGCCCTCCAGCCAATTGCGAAGGTTTGGTTTCAACATTAGTAGGAACCAAATTAGCCTCGAACCTCCTGCCGCCCTATATACACATAGTAATTCCAAAATACCTTCTATACCAAAACTTACACCCTTGCCTCTAGCACACTATACCAGATTATACTCCTTTATATATTTGTTTAGTTGCAATGTTTCTATTGATGGTCCTGTTCCTCGATCATCCGTTTTTTTGTCCAATCCTATGACATTTACCCTTCAAATGGCCCAATAAGGGCCTTTGAGTAAAGATAACCAATGAACCGTCTTGGTCTTTGCAAGGCTGCTTTAGCTTGCCACGTCTCACTGTGTTCTTCTAGACCATGCCGTTGACGGACATCTCCTCCTGGTGTGCTATGTATCACGTTCAGAAATACAACACGTCTCAAATACTCCCACCTATACTCTTATTCCAGGGATGTGTAAGCTACCTGGGGGAAGTGAACAGCATTCACAAACTTAGTGTTAATGCTTTCCTGCTGAAATAAAAGGTTTTAATTACCCTGGATAAAAATCTCATTAATAATTCAAAGAATATTGGCTATTTAAAAAAGTTTTAAAAGACTGTAACTATGTTCTAATGGACTGGGTGTAGTTAGGCTTATTTAAATAAAAACACAGTCTTAAAATAAATAACTGTTGTCTGAAGCATGGTAATTGTTAGTTTAATGGTACTAATGATGGCATGCATTCCATAATTGCTCATATACAAACGGAGAGAACATAGATATACAATTAAGAAGCAGAGTCTTAAACACTTACCGCACTGAGTACAGCGTTCATCTGTTTTTAAAAGATAGCTTGAATAATTTAAGCAATTTGATTTCCGCAGTCAGTAATAATTTAAGTTGAATGCCGATATTAAAATAACTAACAGGTCTATTTTTTTGTGGTTGAATGCTGCATAAACACTTCTGGTATCGCCTTCCTAAAGAAATTAGAAAAGAACAGCTTGGTGAAAACAAAAGAAAACACTCACAGACACTGCGGTTCTTTTTTCTATGTACGAGTCCTGTGACACTCAAGTGACACTCTTAACAGCGCTGGTGGTTTCCATGGCAGCAAAATAGCATAGCGCATGTCTATCGATTTGCATTATTATTTTTCTTTCTTTCTTTTTTTTTTTTTTTGCTAAATACCTGTGGGACCACCAACAGTGGGACCAAAGTCTGAGGCTCATCTCCCAGGATATCAGCCACTTTAACTGGAATTTAATTTACTACACATAAACAGGTAATTGTCATTTTAAATAGATGCCATTACTGAAGCAAAATATATAAAATTGGGCACCGTGCAGGAGGAAAAAAGACACAGTAAACAGCTCAACATAAAAACTAATGAATAACACTCATTTAGAGTGTGCCAAATATGTTGGTGGGCTTGCTGCCTTTGGCCTGGGCAAAGAGGAACCCCCCCCCCGTCCCAGCCTCCTCTGCCTGCAGCTCACGAGGGGCAATGGGGGGCTCCAACGTGGCTCTGTAGCTTCAACAGCTGTCCTTTCTGTGACCCAGCCATTAATTCTGAAGCTGATTGATATCTTTCCTGTCTGTCAGTCCGCTCTCCAAGTCATGCTAAATAATTGAAAAAACAATCTCCGTCTGAATCTGGACACTGAAGTTTATTTCTCTCTGTTTCTCCATTCAGCTAGTGATACTGTTACATTTTCTTTCCAGGTAAGTTTGTCATTACTAGCCAGTAATTGTAAAACTGATTATTATAGCTGTCTTTGCCTGTTCCGCTACAGCAGCATCGAAGCAGCAGGGTATTTTCAATCTTTATATGCTTCCTCACCTGGCCGGCAATAATACGACCATAAAACAGATCGCCAAAAAAATCTTAATGTAGTCTCCTAGCCAACACAGAACTGCATTTGCCCATTTGTCAAAGTCGTATCTCCATTTTACTAATCTAAACGAGCTTCTTAAAACGCAGTTTAGAAAGAAAAGGCTGTATTTCGAATTAGGTTGGTGCATGCTGGCATCATGTACAGAGGGTACCTTGTGCGTGCTGGGATCGCATCCAGTCTCACTAAATAACTAGAATATCGACGGGTAGGTGGACGGATGCTTGTAGTCCTATACAAATTAACTGTTTCTTTTACGACATTCGTCAAATTTCTCTGATAGCGCAGGTGCCTGACAACCTGCGATGTGTTAACCTAAAGAAAATAAAATGCTCGGCGTGTTCAGCATTGCTGATGAAGTAAAGATCCGCTCCCATGAAACTGAAGCCGAATCTGGCAGTGATCAGAACAGCCCGTGCGATGGATGGTGTCCAGAAGAGGACAGGCAACGCGTCCCGGCAAGTCCCTATGTGCCGGAAACCTGCATGGCGCATTAACTTTATGTTCACTGACTGGCCCGTTTAGCTGGGAGACGCGAGTTGAGCGCGCTATTCATATTCCCGGGTGCGGCTCCCGGACTCGCCGAATAAAGTAACAAGGCAAACGCTCTGTGCGCGATGTGAGCGCAGGATCCCATCAAGAAACATGTGAGGGAATGGAATACAGAGAGAGGGACAGTACAGTGCACAGTGCGCCGATCAGCCCCGTCACAGGTAACTGCTATATGTAATGTATGGTTATTATATTATAATTATAGCATCATTTGAGGTAGCAATTGATACTAAACGAAAGAAAGAACTTTGCTTTTCTGAAGTTAACAATCCGCAGTTTGCTTTTAAAAGTGCAAAATGATGGGCTGTTAATGCGCATCGAAATGATCCTGCCGGCGAGCGGAGTTTGTTTCGTGCAAATTGTTTAAAATGAGATTGTGATCGCGCGAGCTCCTGCAACGAATGATCACTTACAGAAAAATTGCATTTGAAACGGCAATTCGATTCTCAGTGGTGATGCGTACGGTTACTGATACGTAAAAGAAGAAAAATGCATCAGAGATGCAGCGTGCGTCGATTTAACATCTAAACTGTCATCGAAAGCTTTGCTTCGTACTATTGTACCTTGCCGGGATAAGTTAAATGTTTTAACTGATTTCAGTAGCATTTTATTTATGGCACGCAAGGAAATCTTAAGCAAATTCCATTTAAACTATAAAATGACAAAGGCCTTCACGCTTCGTTACGTGCTCTGTACCTTAATTTGAGCTGCAAAGTGAATCAGTGAAAAGCTCATAATGCACATTTTTGCACGTTTTACTGAATGTGTGGTTCGTGTTATTAGTGGTGCAGCTGCAATTTATGTTACGTTTCTGCTTCTGCGGCGAAGTTTGAATTTAATGCGCAATTCATACGTCTATACATTCAATACAAACCATTGTGTATGTGAATACAAAAATGATAAAACTTCTGGCGTACTTTGTATTGCAGCTTTCGGATCGATAGCTTTCCAGTTCAGCACGACGACAGACTACCTACATAGACCTCGGAGGGCGATTAAAAACATGAACACCATTGTTTTCAACAAGCTGACCAAGCCGGTCATTTTCGAGGACAATGCAAACGAAGTGGAACGGAGCAGCATAAACTACATAGAAGTTATCGAAGGACAGCACCCTGATATACTGTCAAGCGCTCCGGCGATCAAGGACAACCATGTCATCAGGCATAGGAGATCTGGGTATGTATCGCAGTTTCTGTTTAAATTAAGGGACACGCCATACAAGATAACAGATGTAATTAATGAAATGTATTTAATGCATCGGAAAACACGTGGCTTAATTCGCAATGGTCGAGATTGATAGTTATCTCAAAGTGTGTTTCCAAACCAGTGCAGAACTTAAAATGCCGCAAATGCTTGAAAAGTTGGTATGCAGCCATTATAATGCTAGCATAAATATGTCAGTCATCAGATACTGCATATGCATGTTTGCACTTAACATCTGAAAATATTAGTAAGGTGCACGAGCATTTTCAGCACGAACTAGAGCAGGTTTCAGTCGGTACTGTATGTCGAGTACATAAAAATTCACAAAAGCAACCCATCAGCAAACTATATATGCTAATGGAACAGCAGTGGTCTGAACTTAACCTACATTTTTTGGGGGGGAATAGTTTGTCCATGACTGTCTTATAAAAAGAGTGAGACAGGCAGATAAATACAGGAGGAAAAAATATAGACAGACTGTGATTAACTGGATCTGTCTCTGCAGCTGGGACAGTGGAATCACTGCACAGAGCTGCTTTGCAGGTAGTTTAAGTTCTGAAATATTATGCTGGTGTGTACCGCCAACCTTCTCAAGCGAGACACCGGCCTTTTAGGTGGTTCATTCAAAACTAGATTATAAGGAAAATATTTGCAGAGCATCAGCCTCAGGCAAATGTGAGGTCAAATGGAAATATGAAACGATCGAAAAAGATTGTCAGCTCAATGCTGACCTCTACGGGCTCCACGCTTTTGGAAAAGCCCCACGCATGATGATTGAATTAGAACCGTAGTAAATCACTGATAGATTAAATTTATTATATTTATTGATACAATTAAAGCGACATTATGCATTTACTGGGGGACTTTAAATGGATTACTGGCATTATACACGCACGACACGCAAATACGAGACGTTTCTTTCAGCTGATATGTTTATCGGGTTTACGAGGTGTAGCAGCAAAAGCAAATAAAGGAGCTAATTTTAGAAATATGTAGGCCTACTGCAACTTCTGGATGCAAAATGGAATGTTTTTTCCCCGTTTGCCGGGCATTTACTCCATTGACTCAAACAAAACAAACAGCTAGATACACGCGATTTCGGACCAGCTGGTCCGAGGTGTAATTTAGGACATGTTTAGTTTACAATTACGGCTGTTGCGAATATCGTAGTACCAGCTGGGTAAAGGTCATACTCACATGCAGGATGGTTTTCTATTACCTTACTGCATTTCCAGTTTTAAAAGGTTGTCTTTCTTTCTAGATCTAGTAACTTAGATTAATTAGTGAACGTAAATAAAAGTTACGTGAAATAAATTAAAGTAGGCAATGTATATAAAGAAAAATCTATGAATTGATTGGCTATATGAGGGTGTCCTGCTGCAACAATTTTGTCAATTCATCTATATTAAAAACATACCAGTAGTATAGGGCATCTGCATGCCATTTAGCTACAGTGCGCCTGTTTTACAGGAAAAGTAGTGAAAAATTAAGACGAGTGTAAATAACTGTCACGGAAAGCTATCAGGTCTTTCTTCTGATGATTTTTTTCTCTCGCTCTTTTGCGCCCCCTAATGAAACGGCACCGTAAGTGATCGCCTGTATCACTTACAGGGCGGGGAGGCCCTGGTTTGCACACTGTGGTTGATCTTTTGTGCACGTGGATTAAGTAATGCGAATGTAACATATTCATTACCCCGTAACACTGACACCAAGAGGAGAAGAAGTCATTTCCAGTTATATGCTTCATTACCGATGTGGCAATCTAATTATTTGTCAGTGCCCAGGACCTATGACAAGATACACAGGGATGACAGGATGAAATAATGGTTTCTTGCATTCCCAATGCTATGATATTTCAACAAAACAAGTATTTGTTTTAAAATGCTGTTTTAAAACGAGATTAAATCTGTATCTTTTTATGTATTTTTATGCACATTTTGCTGTCTGTCCGAATAATACCAGTGATCGTATTACCAAACCTGCTGCCTAAATACCGATCAGCCAGGAAACATGACACACAACTAATGTTAACAGATGTTAAAATTAATTTAAAAAGTAATTAGACTAATTGATATCCGTATTTCCTTTACTTATGACAGACATTAGCTTTCGTAGTAGCACATTTTTGAGGTGGTGACGACCTTAACCTGAAATGACTCCACCCCCGCATAAATATAAATGGTAGGTCCCGCCAGGGAAGCGGGAAAGCGCGGCACAAGCGGCAGGCGCTGCAGGACATGGCGCGGCCGCTGAAGCAGTGGCTCTACAAGCACAGGGACAACCCCTACCCTACCAAGACCGAGAAGATCCTGCTGGCCCTCGGCTCCCAGATGACGCTGGTCCAGGTGAGTGAGTAAGAGCGCTAAGTTCCAGCCTCCAGGTGAAATTAACATTCATTGATATAAATGTTTGGCATACATGTGGACCTAGAGATTAACTCGGGGAAACACAAGACAGGGCAGGAGACACTCTGGAGCGCATGCTGATCCGTCCGTTTAGGGCACGCACTCACGCCGTCCAAATTACAGACGCCAAGTGACTTAACTGCATGTTTTTGGATGGAGAAAAGCCTCACGAACACATAAAGAACGTGCAAGCTTCACACGCATAAGAGACCCACAGCCTCGCACATGTAAGGCTACTGTGTTGACCAGTGAACACTTGTGTGTAAATAACGTGTAAGTAACTTGTGTGTAAGTAACTAACACCAAACAGAGGGGCAGAGGGGGAACAGAGACTCCCTAAAACAGGGAAGGCATTGTAGGGCTAGGGAAGCTTATGTCATGTGACTGAGTTATGGGCAGGCAGGCATCATGCAAAGCAGTGCTTCACTAGCTGCGTTTGGACCAATCAGATTTATCTAGGAGGTGATGAGGAAGAGCCGGCGCATGTTGCCCGTCAAATTCGGGCAGCTTTCGATAAATGCCAGCTTGCAAAGCCTTCTACTGCATACGACAGTACCAGCTGTGTCACGGGCCTGTGATGTGGCTTTGGGAAGAATGCAGAGCCGCTCGGATAATGGGAAACAAAGCGGCGAAAATGAACACCGGCAACTTCGCAGACATTCGTAAATCACATCCTCCGACTGTTATTCTTACTCGGCATCCAAAAATGTCTTTTTCATGTGACATGGTTGGTTACTGAATTTGGCGCCAGTGTAATTTCATTATCTAAAATAAAACACATATATGAGGAAGTATTTTAGTGAAGTCACAGGCTGCGGAAAAAGCGGATGGTAGAAGCCCGTGGGGAAATAATTAAGTTGAATTATGTCCTTCGTGATTGGGCTGTTACACGACTATGTCCATTTGCACAGCATCATTTTAACCAATGAAATATGGTGTACTAGAGTAACGTACAGTATTAGATAATGGGAGGTGTGCGTGTGTGAGTGTGTTCTGCGATGGGTTGACGCCTCAACCTGGGTTGTTCCCTGCCTTGCGCCTGTAGTCTCCATGATAGGCTCCAGACCCCCCGCGACCCTGATATGGGTAAGCAGTTATAGAAATGGATGGATGGATGAAAGGATGGATGGAGTAATGAGAGTGAAGTGGCTGGACGTACTTCTCGAGTCCTGTTCCCGTTTCTAGCTGCATGGCAGTGTATGTAATTTTAATCCCTCCCCCCCCCCCCCTCCCCACTGCACTGGCAGGTTTCCAACTGGTTTGCCAACGCTCGGCGCCGATTGAAAAACACGGTGAGGCAGCCGGACCTCAGCTGGGCCCTGCGCATCAAACTCTACAATAAATACGTCCAGGGCAACGCAGAGAGGCTGAGCGTCAGCAGCGACGACAGCTGCTCTGAGGGTACGGACCTCACACCCTACACCCACACGCGACATCATGCCCCTTATGTGCTATGTACTGTCGGATGGGTAGCGTTTAATTAAAGTGACTGACGGGGAGCTGCATTGGAAGCTGGAGGTCGGCGGGTGCTGACTTGGGAGATAACAGGCGTGAGGGGATCATTACCTAGATCATTACCTAGACCATTTCGTTCAAGGCTGCAGTGTGGAAGCTGAAGAAATGCTGTTAGCTCTCAACTGTATCCATAAACTGCTCTTCATTCTTTTTTGTTAGAAATGTGAGAATGAATCATGCTTGGCATGAGGCATCTAGTCTTCATACTGTGTGTGTCCCCTCTTGTTCTTTGGATGAAGGTCAGTGTTGTTTCTGCAACTCCAGCTCGCTTTCTGCCGATCCAGTGAAAACAGCGCGGCTCTCCTACAGTGACACCTGCTGGTTAAAATAATGCAGCTTGTGGCTGGAGCGTAATCTGCCAGTGGATAGTTCAGGTCTCCACCGTGTAAAGATGTTCCTGGCAATAGCCACGTTCCTTGTCTCCGGGCCGATGCACCGCCTCTGTTAGTAACCCTGATATATGAGAATGAATCTGAATATTGCCGACTAACAGCAGGAGTAGCTGATGATCGGACATCGACTATTCATTTTGGAAAGGCCATGCATTTCTCAGATTTTATATCATAAAGATTTTTTATTATTAATAATAACTTTTCTATAACCACATGCAAACACATTAAGAATGTCTGCTTTCATTTTTCTATGAAAAAAATACTGACTTGAATTCAAAGGAATTTTAAAGATTTTTTCCTCATCTGGAGCCAACATTCGAAATAACTTAAAGGGTATTTTTTTGTGCAGATTAATACTGATATTTAAACAAATAGTACATTTTACAGTTATTTTTAGCAGACACGCAAAGTAATATACTCGTGAAGATCAGAGAGCAGGGTTACTGTGTAGGGATGGTGTGGCCCAATCGGTTAGGACTCCATGCCCATGATTGAAAGGTTGCAGGTTTAAATCACATGACTGGCAAAGTGATTTCTCTGTTGGACCCTTGAGCAAGGTCCTTAACCTCCAGCTGCTCCTTTAACTGGCTGACTCTGCTTTCTCAGTTGTTTGTCACATTTGGCAAAACTGTCTGCTAAAATAATGTAATTTAACGGGTCAGCCAATGTACTTGGAACGATTGGATTGCTGAAGGATCCAAAGGTGATATGATTACTGTACCAGCCATGGGATTCGAACTAATGACATTCTGGTCATGGGCACAGAGCCGCAGACTGCCCCATATAGTAAAATAAGGTGCTTTATTGAGAAATGAGTGATGTGGAGGACCCAGGTATATCGTTGCTCACTTTGGCCCTACTGTGGCAGGCAGAGAGACGCCATTGCGGACCCAGTCAACCGCCGGCCAGTTCAGCAAGCCCATGTACCAGAGCGTCATCAAGAAGGACAGCGCGGCCACGGCAACGGGGCTGCGGGCCGTCACCTCACTCGGTGAGGACTATGTGTCGCCGCCCAAGTACAAGAGCAGCTTGCTGCACCGGTACCTCAACGACTCGCTGCGGCACGTCATAGCATCCAACGGCATCGTGGACTCGCGCCGGAGGAACCACTCGGGATCGTTTAGCTCCAACGAGTTCGACGACGAGCTGCTCTCAGCGTCGCCTTTGGAAAACGAGGCGAACTTCGTCTGCCGTGCAGGTAATGACCTACGCTAGTGCCTTTATTACACCTGAAAGAGCAGAGAGTCGTCCTACTTCGCTCTCGTTGGCAGCGTTTGGATAATGAGCCTCGTTTATGGTCTGGGCGAATTTTCTCAGTTATTTTAGCAGAATTATATGGTCAAAAACAGGTAACAGGTCAAAAAAGACAGTGTTTGTATTGATTTGCAATCTTGAAAGCCAAATCTACTGCAGAACATCATACCCAGAAAAATACCATGAAATGTAAGCTTAATATCCTTATGTTTTATATATAATAGGTAATATTTTTAAATAGGCAAAGTACAGAATTTATTTGAGAGGAGTCAACTTAGGATCCTTTTCATCAGAATGGAAGTGTTTCCATTCACCCACCAGTTAGTCATTTGCTCTATAACGCAGAAATGATGTTTGTAATATTACTTAGGGATGCAGGAGTTTGCTGGAAATATAACCAGAGCATCGCTTTTATGGGTACCGGGTGTGACACAGGCAGACGGTGCACGGAAAGTTCTGGAAATTGGGCACTAACATGGAAGCTTTTATAAACACCTGTTAGCCCCTTGTAGCTGAATATGGATGTAAAAATTGCTGTAGTGAGGAAAAAATTAAGTTTAGTCTCGAGTTTGCATCACTTCCTGCTGAATGCTCCTTGAATTTCATCTCGCAGTGAAGGACCTGCTTCAGCTTATGACGATTACAGATTGTCTGGCATTTTAGATTTATATTCCTGGCTGAGGGGAGCAGAGCAGGCCCAGTCTCTTTAGTGTTGGTGGCTTTGAATATGCATACTTCTGTCCTTTTCTTTGATGCACTTAACTGGATAAACGTTTGGGAGAAAATAAGCAGATGTTACTTTGGCTCTGGTGCGTGATGAGCTGATTCTCGAAATAAGCTAAATCATTGGTGTAGGTGGGTTTAGATGTTCCGGATGCTTCCAGAAGGAAGCTAAAGACCTCGGCATGAAAAGAGAGTCTTGTGGGGAATTCCTTTGAAGAACAAGGTGCTAGAGAGTACTAGAACGCATGCCAAGGGTTTTATGGTAAATGACACTTAAACTGTGAATTGAACGCCAAGAATCTCTTTCAGTAATTTGCCTTTACTCAGAATTCTGACTCATATGATGTATATAATGTTTTGTGAAAGGGATTTTGGCATTATTATGAATGATGCAGATAGAGAAGCAAATAAATTAACCCATAAATCAAGCCCATAGTTACATTGTGTTTTTCTTGTTGGATTGGTATGGAGGGAAAATTCTGACCCATTATTGATCATGAAAACTGTAATCTTTCCATTTCTTTTAGCATTAACAGTCGTTTAGTATTTGCATTCAGTTTTTATTTTAGCAGCTAGAAGCAATTTGGCGTTTGCGGATTTTTTTCATATTTATAAGCTCATTTTTCATATTAACGGCCACATTTGTTAAGCGTGCTTTTATGGGTCAACTTTGCTTTTTCCATTAACAGCGTCTTTTCATGATGGCAACATCTGTCTTCTCAGGTCGGAGCCAACCGTATACTTCAAAAGAAGTATTTACCCATGGTTGATGTGTAAAATGTACAATTCTTTGTGATTTTGATTTTCTGTGACGACGGGGAGGAATATCATTATTCGAGAAACCCACTGCTGTAGCTGAGTCTCACTGAGGTCTCAGAATACATTACCATATTAAAATGTACTTTTCATGCACGCCGTTTGAGGCCTTGTCTTAAATTACAGGCTAGAGTAACAGAAGTATGTTCTGGTGTTTCGAGAAGCTACAAAAGCTTGTAAGGGCTTCTCAAACGGGCAGTGGCCGCGTCCAGGCGGTTGAGATATCTTTGAGGACTGTGCTGCGTCTCGAACCCGTTTAAAATTCTCCTCCCAAGTGGAAACATCTTACAGAAACAAACTCTGTTCCATAGCTTCGTAGAACAAAGCAAACGTTTGTTCGGTTTAAGGTTACCGACTTAAATACCAGAGACTTCACTGAAGGGGAAAGTTGTCTTAGCGATGCCTGTAATTATTAACGCGACGTGGCTGCCTTTCATCTGCAAACCTCAGAGAAACCCTCTCCAGGCAAATGACTATCTCCTGCGTTTTAACTTCAAAATATGTCTCTTGTGCTGAACTTCATCCAGTTCAATAAACAGTCAGCCGGGATCATTTAGAGGAATAGGGCATGGAAGTGAAAACAAGTATTGAAGTGAGGGAAATTTTAGGTAAGTATTAACCCAAAAAAGGAGGATTTTTAAGAACAGAAAACAAATGAGAATCTTGCCCGATCTATCGAAGACTGGTGGCATGGCTCATAGTCTCATCTAAACAATTGAAGTAAGTCTTGCAAAGCTCATACAAAGAATGATTTAATTACTTCCCACTGAAAAGTACACAATGCAGAGGAATATTTGCTTTATTGTCATACTCTGTGGTAGGTCATCCAGGCTGAATACCAGGCCCGTCTCTTAATTGGTTTGTATCGGCAAGAAAAACACATTTGTCGTTTCAGAAACAGAAAATTTAAGGGAGAATACAGCTGACAAAAAAATAATTCAGGCCTAGGAATTTAGCTTAGGAAGCTACATTTTACCTCATAAGAGGGAACACAGAGCACTATGGATGGCTTTTACAGTCCCTGAGAACGTGCAAAAAACGTATGTATAATGACATGGTTTATATTTTTTGTTTCTTGTTTATGGATTACATTCGGTTTGTAGTTGACATCTTTAGGGTTTGCTGTTCTGCTAATTCTGTTGAGAGCATAAAGTTGAAAAGTTGAAAACGATGGACGGCCACCCAGTCCTACTGGGCCCACTCTCTGGGTTGAAGGGCAACTGGAGTGTTCACTACCGCTCTCAGTGTATGTACAGTGAATGGTGTCCAGCAATTATCATAAGAAACAGTTTGGGCAAGTGTAGAGAGGGGTGTTTTGCAGGAATGAATAACGAGATTATTTAGGTATTCTGTATGTCCGGGATGTGTTTTTATGGGGTCACCATATTTGGTGAGATGAAAAAGAGGACTCTCTGTCGCTCACAGAATATGACAAATATGAAATGTTTAAGTGACGTCACTTCTAGGAACTTTCCGGAAACTGACGTCACTTGTCAGCAACGCGACACGTAGGGCTGTGCATATCATTTAATTTTTTAAGTAAACGTGTGCATAGGCCTTGCAAATGTCGTGTGATGAAAATCGGTGCATTTCCCTTCACTTGATACTCCATTGTAATTTGCATCATTTGGTCAAATGGGTTGCAGCCATAAACCCGGACGCAAGGTGACTGTACGTTTCCAGTACAGATGCTTGATAGTATGACCTTACATAAATGCACAAAACAGCACAATTCTCATTATCCCTCAGATTCTGTAGTTATTATTGTTGACTATAGTATTGCTTTGAGATGATAAGACATTCTCTACCACTTTTTGCAACAACTGGAAAACTAGTCCTTTCAAACAGAGCTCTTCAGCTCCTATTTCTTGCATCTCTTTCAAAAAACTTTCCATTCCTTGGGATTTGTTTGGTGCGCCGTGGATCACACTGAGGAGTTTGGGACAGCCAGACAAGGTTTTTTGTTTTCTTTTTTTCCAAAACCTGCTCTGATGGTTTGGACCTGGGACAGCCACAGGCCACGCCGCTCCACAGAACACGTCCTTTATGATCTCGAAGGTTCGGCGCAGACTGGAGTGCTCGGATGAGCCGACTCTGGGTGTGTAATTACTCACGAACAAATAACTGCTTTGGCCGTTTTTATGGAGTGAAAACCAGAGTGTAGTCATCCTGGTCAAAAACCACAGGGGAGCAGCACGAGTACTGTAGTCTGTTTTCAAATTATTTTTAAATGGTAGACAATCAGAATATTCTATGTACAGAGAGGAATGACAGATGAGGTCTGTGGTAAATAATGAGCAAGGAAATTCTGTGTTATTTTATAAAATTCGATTTCGTTAAAACAGTTATTCTCTTTTCTTTTGTTCTGTTGCCATGGGTTCGTTTGTGGTGTTTCGTTACACGGATTGCTTCCAAATGCTGTTATTCTTTTTCATAACCTCCTTTCTAACAGAATTACATCCCTTTATAGTTTATAGGGGTCAGATTATATCCAATGGCGCAGTCTGCAAGTTCCCTCAGATCAGTGTCTTTAGCTTCCCTGCAGTCCTGGTGTGCGTAATTCCTCTCCGTTTACATCGTTTGTAGCCTTCCTTCCTTTTTAGTTACTGTCTGTCGTTTCCAATCAGATGCAGCGTCCGAATCATTTGGTCACAGTTACCGGTTGATCCATCCAATCAGTGGGCTTGTAGCTTCACCCAGTGCAAGTGACTGGAGAGTTTTGTTGATTCTGCTGTCTGTGTATTTTGTGGATATTATTATCCCCATTCCCCCCTCAAGCAGCAAAGTGCCCTTCCATGTGGCTGAAGTTAAGGCTAAGCTTCTCCTCAGTGGACCACGGGTACTTTTGAAGACTTAGGAAATGTGTGTCACATATTAGCGGGCAGATCTTGTTCACATTTTCGGAAAGTGTAGGAACAGCAGTGATCGCCGCCGTCCACAAAGTCCTCATGCACATCTCTATTCTTGGAAAGGGGACTTTGAAATAAATCCATAAATTGGCAGATTTATCGTGTGTCTAATTCGGTACAGCCATTAGTACGCAGAAAGGAGTCTATCTTTCTTTTTGCCTGTTTATGTTACTAATAAGCACATGTGGACGTAGTGTGCTTGGTTGAAACTGGCTTTTATTTGATGTACAAGGGTCGCTGTACGAATTTCGGTTCATCCTGTTCATCCTGTCAGTTTTGGATCAACACAGAGAGCCCAAAATTTATGATCACACCTAGGGCTAGGCGATAAAATGGTAAAAATTATCGCGATATAATTTTCCTTAATATGAAATATAACAAATGTTCGATAAAAGTTTGATATAACTAAAGACCCAACGTTTCGCCAGCAACACATCTTGCATGACATTTTGCACACCTTCCCTGTGACTGTTTGTCTGGACTGGTGTTCGGGTTT